GCTGTATGTTAAAAAGAGCGTGTGTCGCTCATCGTTTCAATGAATACGGTGTCAATATAGGCTATTTATAAGTTATTTATTTAAAACCAGCGGCTCCATTTCGCGTTAACTATAATTTATCCTGTCATTATCTGGAGCATAAAGGTATTATTGCGAACGAAGCTTACCACATCTATTTTGATTGATGAGATTATTTCCGTCGATTTCACGTTGTAAGCCGTAGGAAAGATGAGATGAAAGACGTTCACCTTTGCAATTTTTTGTACTAGGAATCAGCTCGAAATTTGAGAGCTTACATCCAAGGCCAAAATCGGGTTACTATATAGTTGACAATCAGAGTGTGTACACTCTGTTGTGCTGAAGTCAGTCAATTCAGTGGTATCCAATGATGCACTTTTTCGTAGTGATTTGTTATCATTTAAATTTTTAGTCAAACTACTCTAATATGCCTCGCTCCCTACGTGCGACTTCGTGGCTCAGTTTAAAGTAATGCCTAACTAGTATATGAGAGTCACAGGTTCAAAAACCGTCGAGCCCTAAATCCTTTTCAGATTTCTTTTCTGAAGTTGTTGAAATTTCTGCTCACCTGCGAGGATCATTGCTTTATATGATTATCATCTGCAGGTTTAATGAAATTTATTTCATTGGATTATAAATTGTTTTTCCCGTCCACTTACATTCTCAATTTTCGTTCATTCAGGGATTTGTCTTCAAATGAAATCCCTTTACTATCTGAGAGACTCTTTGCTAACTTAGTCAGTGTGGAGAGGCTGTACGTATAAAACAAGTTAATTCAACTCACTCTTTCGTTTAAATTCTTACAACATTTCCCCCACTTCGACGAGAAATTGATCAGCGTGAATTTCTGTAGGAGTCTGCTTAATAGGATTTTCCACAATTTTTATATCTAAGTATGTACTTTGTGTTCTAAACCTGGTTTAAAATTTTTAAATTGGAATTAGTTTTACGATACAAGGACTCAATTTATCCACAGCGATGATCAGCCAAAACCTGAAACAATTAAATTAACCTCAACTTGATCCATTTCAACAGAGTTTTAAATTTTGTCTTTTTGTAGTACACGTATAGTTATATTTCCTGTTTCTCTTTATAGAAAATTAATTAACAAAATACATTGTTGACCGTTGCAATTTCGTTCACATGTTGATGTTTTCACAGGGATTTGTCGTCAAACAAAATAACCTATCTACCTAATGGATTGTTTGCCAACTTGACTAATCTGGAGTGGCTGTACGTTAAAATGAGCAGATGCCTCCATCATTTTCACAATAACTGCTGTCCATAACAATTACCAACTATTTATGTGAAAACAAACACTATCTGAGATCGCTGTATGCTAAACACAAGTTCGCCCAACTTATCGTTAGGGAGAGTCGTTGCATTAAAAGTGTCACTTGAAAAGCTCAACTGTTTCAGAACCAGAGTGCCAGTTATGCGCCAAAAAATTGGTTGCTAGTCGAAATGCTTTATTTCTATAAACGTTACATCATTATCAGCGCCATGCGAAACACCTATGGTATTTTTTGCACTAAAAATCAGCTCGAACTTCAAAAGCTGCATCCAAGGCCAAAATTAGATTACTAGTAAGTAACCAATCAAAGTGCGTGCAGTGAATTCAGTTGTATCAAATGTTATACTTTTTCGTAGGGATTTGTCTTCAAATGCACTTACTTCTCCATCTGGCTTTGCTAACTTGCATAGGCTGGAATTCTTGTACGTACCAGCAGTACTTTATGTAGTAAAGTGTTGAGAAGAAAATCTCAATCTGCATTTTTTAGTTAGCATTTGAAATGGGGCTTGAAAACAATTATACTGAAGTTGAAGGCTAGGTGTTTATGATCAGGCAGCCGATACACGCCTTTACTGAAGAAAAGAGAGTGTTGAAGCCAGTGTGATATGACAAATGACTAGACATTGAGTATAGAACAATAAATTTTTTTTCTACGCAGGGATTTATCCTGGAATGAACTGGCCTTTCTGCCTCGCAAGGCTTTTCATATGCTTTTCAAGTCACTGCGCAGAATGTAAGGGACTAAAACTACCGTTTCTCTTTATTGATTTCTTAACCACTGTTTACTGATTTGAGCAATTGCATTGGTGTTAAAGTCCTTTGCAATTGGAGGGTGATTGGTTCAGATGTCCTTGCTACTTTTTGTTTTGAAGGCTTATTTGACAAATAGAGAAGCCTTGACTGTGCTCTGTTCTATTGTAAAGCACGCAGGAGGCGGCTATAGCATGAAAGAAGTGTAGGGAGAAACACGATACATAGTCGAGTGTTTCTCCCCACGAAATCCTCTTGAAGCTTCTAGCTTGCAAAACTCCATCGCGAAGTGTTTTTTCCGTTTTGTTAGCTTTCTCAACAGGAACCGTTTGGAGCGAATTCCCTTCAGAGCCGTTTTCTATGTGACATCTTTAGACTTACTGTAAGTAAATTTTTATGTAACCATTATTCCATGACCTTTTATTAGAGATAAAATAT